ATGAAATAAGGAATAGATCATTAATCATTAATGCAACAGATGAATTTTAAAATGTAATACAAATCAATACTTTATATTTTAAATATTGCAGAAAAGACAGTTTGACAATATATCTGAGGCGAAATTATGAGCCAGTTGTGTTATATATGGGTTTACCATTACCTGCATTTTTCCATATAAAATTTTAATTTTTGAAAAGTCTGATGTATTGTAATATTGAATATCGAAAGTTGTGCAAATATAAAAATTGCAAACGTTATGGGCGGCAATTCAACAGGATGTACACTTCATTTGATTAAAAATGTCATGTATGTTACTTGATTTATTGTGGTAATGACGCATTTGCATTCTCTGTTTGCTCTCGGAAATTTCGATAATTCAAATGAGACATGCGTTGCTACGTGGCTGACAGAGAGGGGGCGCAGCCATAGTGAGACTGGAAGCCTAGTGACACACGTGTCGATGCCGCGAGCAGGTGCTCGAAAGAGGGATATGTCGACGGGATGAATCCGGGGACATCGGCTGCATCTGAACACAGGCGGAACGCCTGAGACGTGAAGGGATGGGGCGAAGCGGCGCGAATGACGTCACGGAAGAAGCTATCGGAATGCTTATTTGTCACCGAAGCACGTGAAGGTGTTGCCTCTGTTGGAGGTCTGGTTTGGACAAACAATGACATCTCAAAATAAAGGCAGAGACGGAAAAAAGGAAATTCCCATCATGTGTATTACCTACATATTTGTCCCTCTCTGCATTAATATTCTTTCTGAGTTTCATTATTATGGTACACTCATTTACGAGTAATAAATATCTTCCAACAACGCCTCAAACAACAAAATTTTATGTCGTATTACATATTGTTTTAATATTATTTTTCTAATAATTTAGATAGAGTGGGAAGCACACTTATTGGTCAGTAACTGTTGGTTAGGGATGCATTCCTGTTTGGTTTTTGTATTGCAAGAATTGTTGCATGTTTCCATACTTGCAGAAAGAAACCAAGTCTGAGGCATCAGTTGAAGATATTGGTGAAATATGCAATGGCTGTTTGGGGAAGGTTTTTAGTATTAAATTGTTGATTTTATCATGACCAGGACCTTTCTTGACAGGCAGTGAGTTTATGGTTTTAGGGATGATGTGTAGTGTACTTTTTTAATGAGGGCCATATATCTGTCTGTGTTTACTGTTTTGCTGATTGTGAGATGACTAGGGAGCAATTGAGTATTATTCTGGGTCGATGTGGATGCAGAGTAATTAGGTAGCTCTTCCTGAGCAGGTGTGTACATGTTTCCTGTGGGATGTCTAGAGGGGGAATGGTATTCTTTTTTCTTAACATTTTGTTTGTTAATTGCTAAAAGAATTTGTTGTTAGTGTTTAGTGATTGGGTTAATGTTTGTAAATGCTGATCGTGGACATTTTTGATTGATGAATTTGTGATTTACGTACAATGTTTATACGTATGTTAAGTTCTAGTTTTAGCTCTGGTTTTAGCTTAGTTCTTAGTTGTGACCATAGTCTGTGAGTTTCTTTTTAATTTGTATTAGATTTACTAATTCTGGGGGATGTTTATATTGTTTATCTTTGTTGGTAGTGTTTTGTTTTAATTCGGTCTCTTTAACTGTGGTATGAATTATGGTGGTTAGTTTGTTGACTGATAGCTCTATTTCTAGTAGGTTGGAGTAAATTCAGATATTGTTGAACTAAACGTTTGGAATATTTTCCAGTCAACTTTTAACGTATTTGGATTTGGTACTCGGCGTGTGAAGTTGGTATTTGTTGTGTGGTTATTAAGTTCGGAATGTGATATGAGTCTATTTCGAATAATGTAGTAATGTGTAGTTGAATTTTAGTGTTGGTAATTCCGAGAATATCGGGAATTCTTAAGCGATCATGTGGATCATTTGTGGGATCTGGAGGTGAAATTAATTTGAGAATAGTGCGATTTAGTACATGAGCTAATATTTTCTCATTACCGTTGGAGGTTCGAACATCGTTAGTTGGTATTTTTGGCATTTAGGTTCCCTAGACGTATGATGTTATTACGTTAGAATAGTTTACTAGTGTTATCGAGGTTTATTTTATGATTTGGAGGATTATATGCTGCAATTACTGTCTACATTTTATTTTTAATTCTAATTTAATGGCCACAGTTTCTATATAACCAGTATAAGGGGGAATTGTTGGGTGATGGTGAATATTTTTATTGATGGCTACTAGCACTCTTCTCGTTTGTTTAGGTTTATGTCGGCTCTGTAAATCGAGTAGTGTGGAATTTATTTTTTCCTTTAAGTGCGTTTCTGTAATGCAAATTTTATCTGATATGTGTGAATTTAGTAAGTGTATTTATTCTATGTTTTTATTTGTTAAACAGCATTTCAATTGGCGAGAGTAAAATCTTTAATGTGTTGTGTTGCCATTATTTCCGTTAATGTATGCGGAAAATTAATTTCGAATTGAGTTGATTATGGTGGGTAGAAGTGTATTTATGGAATTTATTATATATGAAGTTTTTGTATTAATTATTGTATTTATAATGGGATAGTTTTGGTGTGATCCTTGGGAAAGGGTGGTTGAATTTGAATTGTTGATAGGATTTGGGCGGGCCTGGGATGTGGTACTACTAATATGGGTGAAGTTGTTGAAAATTGGTGCTTGGGGAAGAAAAGAGAAATGGGTGTTAGATGCTAATAGTGTGGGTTGGCGGAAAGATCTTTGATTTCAATTTTGGAGGTTGGTTTCGTTGATAGGTTTTCTTTTGTCAATGTATTATTTTAGGTAAGGGCAGCTGGATTCTCGATTATTGGTCACGTGGCTGCCTTGGCAGTTGCGACAATCTGGTTCTTAATTACGATTAGGACAAGTTACCGAGTAGTGATTACCGGAACAAAAAGTGCAGCTAATTGAGTAGTTGCAATTATTCTTTGTATGGCCATAATACAGAAACCGCTGTCATAGTATGGAACCTTGGGTATTTTCCTTGCTTCTGCATTTACTGTATAGTTAGATATTTGCTAATGACTAGAATATTGTCTATTGGATCTTGTCCTGAAAAAATAACTGTTACTACTGGTTTATGTCTGTTTTCTTTATGAAGTCTGGTGGTTTTTATCAGTGAAGGAAAGCGTTGTTTTTTTTCTTCATATATTTCTTCTTCAGTAATAGATTTTTTGCCGTTCTTGAACACTACAGATACATTTTTATTTATTGGGTCTTTAAAGGAATGAAAACGTCGATGAGTGTTAATTAGATACTTGATTAAATTTTGGAAGTTCGTACATGAGTTTGCACTTGTTTTTATTTTATTGTTTTTTTAATCTGCAATGAAGTTTGAGGTGACATTAGATTGAAGTTTTTTGATGAATTCATAAATATTGGTGATGTCTAATACTATGATTTATGGTATTTTACTGGAGTTTTCAGTTTGATTACTACGAAGGTCGTTGATATGAGTAAATCTATTTTCGGTTGCTTGCTTATCAAGTTCACTTAGAGATCCAAACCTGTTTTTTACCGGCACATTAATTGAGAGTCAGATTTTGTGTTTTATCACTGTAACTATCGTGATTGCTACTGCATGTTTTGGGTTCTCGCTCAATATCACTGACCTTTTTCTGGAGTCTGACAATTGGGGGTTGGATGAGTTGAGTCGGTTCTTTGCCATCAGTGTCAAAGGTGTTGTGTTGTTTGATATTATTCAACGTCTCCTCCATTTCGTCTTAGGAGAATTGATTTGGGTTATCTGAGATGAAAGTTTCCATTGTAGCTGACTAGTTCCCATTATTGTTAAGAACAAACAAAGCAGCACTTACTTGTTGAGGGTCATAGCTGCATGCCATTCACTTCACTAATTTATACAGAGTCGCACTCTCCGGAATGATTTCGATGAATTATTTATCGCTAGCACTTGTATAGTTCGCTTCACTCGATTGTCGCGATGCGACGCGTGGCTTCCGTTCGGTCTGGTAATGGAGTGGCGAACTAGAAAGTAACACTTTTATCGCAACAGATCTGACAGGGTCGCACAGTAGAGCTCTGACTGCCTCTCACCACTACTGTCGGACGACGAATGAATTTGTCTCTTAATGTAAGTGTGTATTTGTTTCTTGAGTTTTGGTCGTGAGACTGTTTAACAACTAAGGTCATTCAGGCAGATTACTGATTACGTAATGAGAACACGCTAGCGTTAGTATTAATGGAAGAAAGGTAGAAGAAGAGGTAAGGGTAACGGAAAAATCCTAAAAAAAACATCGCGAGAGTTCGCTAAGCCCAGCACAAATTCAACACGAGCGGAGCGAGGATCGAACTCGTGCCTCGGCGCTGGACGGGACGCGCTGGCCACGCCCCCTTTCGCCCCCGGCGCTGCCCCCTGCGGCGCCGGTGCAAGGGGGTGGGCCGCGGGCCGGGCCAAGAGCAGCCCAACGAACGAGCCCCCCCCTCCCGATGATAGCCATAATGATAACGGAGAAGGGATGAAATGAACGGGAAAGGAAACGGGAGAACTCTGAGAAAACCATTCAAGTGTTCGCTGTATCTCCCACGAGTCCCACCCGAGCCGTCCGGGGATCGAACTCGGCCTCACGGTGCAAGGCGGATGCGCCTGCCAGCGCACCACGCCCCCTCGCGGGCGCCGCCGGCGGTCGGGCGGTGCGAAGGCAAGGGGGCGGGGCGCGTGCGCGGGCGGCCAGCCCCTTCGGCGCGTGCGCGGCGTCGCCGGGCGGGAGTCTTCCGCGTGCGGCCGCCGCCGCCGCCGCCGCCGCAGTCGCCGCCCGCCGCCCGCCCTCTGCGGAGGCCCAGCCAAGGGCCCGAGGGCGCAGGGCACGGACGCCCCTAGGGCGATTCCTCCAAGACAAATGACCGCAGGCGGATAAGCCGACGGCCTCTCGCCGCCTTCGCCGTTTCTTGCCATTACGAACCCTAAGGACACGACTTTGCGTTGTGGAGTGCACGCCGAGACCACGGAAAGACTCATGGTGGTGTGACTTTAGAGAAATAGTGCTATCATGAACAAAAAAACTGAACGTAACTTTCCACAAACTCAAATCATACTATAGCATTCGTTGTCGATGTGTCTGTGTTCTTCGATGTAGTACGTGATGTGTCTGTGTTGTATTGTGTCATTTTTCTAAGTGTTCCACAAGCGAATATTAAAAGTTTAAACTTCTTTTGCGAATGGATTGACACTTCAGAGGATCGCAAGATAAATTTCTATAAGTTTTCTGTGAGTCTACCAGGAGATCATCGACGACAATCGACGGAGTGCGGTTGACGTCCACTCGTCACTACTGTGCTCTCTTGCCTCTCCGAAGCCACAATTGGTAAGTCATACTTGAGATTCTTTAATTGACATCCTGTGCTGTTAACTACTTGAGTGCAAACATTTTTCAAAAGAAATTTAGAATTTAATTTTTATTAATACTTTGCATTAGCAGTCTTCTTGTTTTTTGTTTTTTGAGACCTGATAATATGCAATTAACATATTCACCCTGTAATCAATCTAGTTTATTAAAGCCAAACCGATTTACTTTTTGTTTGCATTTTAAATTTGTCACTTTTAATATGTCAATTTTAATATGTCTGCCAAACCATTCAATCATATTCCGAAGTTGCGTTTAACTTCCTTGCAAAAATTAAAGATTTTTTTGAAACGATATTTCAATTTCTATTTTTCCCATTAGCAAAAAACGAATTAAAATAATTTTATTAATGTTTGTTAGAAGTAATTAGTAACCAGATGTGAGTCGCTCAAGCTAAGTAAGATATTTTGTACTCTAATTTTCGGAAGTCGCCCTTTTGTTTCTTTGTCGTAAGTGTCAATTATAAAATCGTAAGTAATTAAACTTATGTATTTTAAAGAAATTGGTCTTAAAAAGCCACATGATTGGATTTTTCTCAGTTGATTTTCGTCAATTTTCTAGTACTTTAGAGATACACTAGCGAAACGGCTATTATTTCAGATCCTTTGCGTGTTTTCGAGCGGGGAGGTCACCGTGTTGGGAATTCGACCAATTTATAAGCGGCGATTTTCGTTATGTTTGGTAAAATTTCTAATATTCAAAATACTCTCAATAAAAATTAATTCTACCTGCATTAAAAGAAACTAATTGATTTTGTCTTTTAAGTCTTGAAGAGATGCCGACAATGTTTTGGTTTTCGGCGCAAAAAGAATAAACATTGTCTATGAAGTAAGTGAATAATGAAAGCAATTTATGAAAGGAAAATATATAGGAGCCAAAACCACTCAGAAATATTTTATATCTATTGTATTTAAACAATTTTATTTGCACGTTTTTATTTTTCATATTTATTTACATCAATCTAAATATAGTTGTCTGCACATTACAACCGTACGGTCTAGTATCTGCCTGAGTACTTTCTGCCTTTTTTCTCGTCATAAATAATATCAGTCATAAATCCCTTTTGCATGACTCTGATTAACATTTCACTGTACATTAAATATGCGAATTACGGAATTCTATTAGAAATATAATTTATATCCATAACTATAATACAATTAAGTAGTACATTAAATGGGTATTTAAGTTGACATCGGAGTAGCGTGGTTGGCACCTCCCTTATAATATCTGTTCAATGTACTGAAAGAATGTTGAGATGTATCTTAGCAATACATCTTACTTGTGTTTACCTACTGTATTAAATTTGGATGAAAATGGGTACTGGTTTCCGGTACTACGGTAATGAACAAAGTACAAGATAGCCATTGACGTTCATAATTATCAAACAGGTGTTTGAAAGTTTGGAATGTACTGACAAGAAACGTTAAAGTTCGTCACTACTTAAAATGTTGGAATTTTGATGCACTAGGAGTATGATTATTTAATTAATTTTAACTTTCTTTGGTTAACATCGCGATAAAAATAACATGACACAACATTTTTCGTCTTTTTTATTGAGGTGTATACTGTAATTTCTCTAGAAAAACATGTTCCCTCCAATTTATTAATATTTTCCATTCTTTCACAACGTATATCACAATAATAGTGCCTACCGATCAGCTGCCAAGATCACTGGCTTAATGATCTAAGGTACAAAGTCAGCTTCACGTTTGTTTGAGGATACTATTTTCTTTCATAATTATCTACAAACGTGAGGTTGATAGATTACTTCAGACAATTCGCTTGCCGGCCGAAAAGTCCCATCTGTTGTGGAGTTAAATGAAAAATCATGAAAAATATTGGATGAAGATTTTAACAATCTCATACATACGCATTCCTTTCATCGAAAACTCGTGTACACACAAGTACTTCTCATATCGTGCAACGAGGTTTTGTGTTCTTGACTTATACACCTCTGTCACTCGTTTGTGGGAGAAGGAAGTGGCAATTGTTTTGAAGTATTCGTCACTGTGATTCATGTGACTGCCGAAGTCTTTCAAAAGCGTAAAGATAAAATTTGACGAAACCAAATTTAGGATGTAGGGTGGGTGGTCAAAAGTGTCAATAGCTGACTGATTTGATGCCTCAAGAAGCTACGATTAATGATTATTCTTATTGTAAGACAATGAAGAAATTGCGAATGGTAATTCAGAATCGACAGCGATGGCAAGAGTCTGGCTTCTTGCTTCTCCAAAACAATTTCAGGCCTCATGTTGCAAACAATCCTCGTATCAAAACATTTGGCTGAGAAATTTTTAACCACCCATCCAATACTCGATATCTGGCTTCATCACGCCTTCATCCAGATTTTGATTTTCACGCTTTAAGCAATCGAAAGACTTTTTGGGAGGCAAAAGATTTCACAGCGTCGGAAACTTCAGGAAAGCTGTCTTTATTTTCTTTCACGATCTGGTGATGTAGGTGTATGAGGGAAGGATACAAACCTCAATACCCGATATGTTTGCATCTACGATCCGTACATGGTGTAAAAGTAATGTGTATGTATCGAATTGAAGAATAACGAAACACCAAATTGTGTGCTACAGCTTTATCTTTGACTGAAATTAACTTGCTTGGTGCTTCTATAAATTTAGTTTATTTTAAATCGATCAGTTGCCTTCCGATTGTTCATAAGAAATGGTTGATTCAGAGTACTTGTGTGTGTGATTCTTAAACAATATTTGAGTAACTACGAGTGTGGGTATGTGCGTGTGTTCTTATTCGTCACTCACGGGTAGCCCACTTCCCCTACACCAATCGAGACATGATCTGTCGCGTCTCGGTCTCCTGATGGGGTACTGATCATTTGTTTTCGGATCCAGCCATAAGATTCAAAGACACTTACGAAACCGTGTATTTTTTCGCGTTTTGGCACTGTGATCTTAGTTATTAGGCATGGAATTAAACCAACGCTTCCTCAATAAATGTATGTACGTGGTGTTGATTAAACTTTAGTACCATCGAGTAAAGGCATTTTTTGCTCAGTACGCCATACGTTTCTTTCACGACGTTGGCAACACTGATGATGCCACCATTAAGTGAACCGTTTCATTACAAAGTGAACTGTGATGCATATTTCATTTTCATTTTCATTCTTATTATCGTAATTTTAAAAATTAATATGCGAAAATCTACGAACAGTATTGCCCTTGAACTTATTAAATTTGAAGAATTTCAAGTGAATAGAAGAGAAAACATAACCGTGAGTAATGGTAGAGAATGAATTACGTTTTTACCTTCCACTTCTCACTTTTACGTTATTAAATGAGTGCAAATTTCAAATGAATGTGACCCACATCTTATTCTTATTACTCTTAACTAATATCTTACTCTCATAATCATAGAAAATAGTGGCCTTTTAATGTTTATATAGATTCGCATATAAGACGATTATGAGAACAATTGCGGAATTTGAAGTAAACACAAATTAGACTGAGTTTGTAGAATTTTAATCTCTTCAAAAATTGGGGGAGAAATATATGGAAGTGTTAAGAAAAGCCGGGGAAGAGTCAAATGTAGAAGTAATACATGGTGCGACAGAATTTTCGGAACTAATTGGGAATAATTTGCATTTTTGCATTTATCTTTTATGCTAATGCAAATGTTCTATGTGCCTGTGAAGGACATTAGGATTAGGAACACAACTACTATCATGAGAACAATTGTGTTTTTTATTGATTCATTAGTGATTCCGAGTGCGTCAGCGCCTGTCCTTATTTCCGTAAGTGTAGTGCATGTTTTGGTCGGTAGGTGGTGCTGATATTCCCTCGCTGGGCGGTGTAATCCGGCGCCGACCAACCTCGGCTAGTGGAGTTTTCCCCAAGCAGGTATCCCCCACCAGCGGGGATCGCTCCAGCCGGCTCAAGGTTTAAGCTCCCACCGGTCTCACGGCGATTAAGTGGTGTAGTGCGTGTACGTAAAGGGTGAGGGTAGGACCAGAAAGTGGAAGAAAGATCGCGCGCGGTCCTTAACCCGTTTGTTAGGGTACTGTTCCAGTATTTGCCTGAAAACCACCAATCACAGCAGCCGGCTGCTTGTATTCTCCTCCATACAGTTTGTGAATTCTATCTAGCTTTGTAGCTAGTGTCGAAAATCCTACGACCATGGGTACTCGAACCTAGGACCTCCCGGTCAGAGGCAGTGCAGAGACATCAGTTGAAACCTTGAGCCCCCTCTGCCGGGGAGAACATCTTAGACGTCGTTCTTGTAATAGTTTGGCCTCCCGCCTCAACAGTTGTTTACTTCGGAGACCCGGTCGCAGATATCAAAATCAACTTAAGAGTCTATTCAACCACTAACAGAATGTTGCGGATAATATCTTCACCAGATAAAACATAATGTTCTATTAATTATTAAATTTCGAAGTCTATAATAATTACATTGTTTATTCTTCATGAACTGTGTTATTTCTTGGTGAACCGTTTTTAGGAAAAATATTAATTCTGATAATAGGACAGTCATAATATCGATGTACAATTTACATCTCAAATCATTTCCTGAACCTAACCAAGAATTCCCAATATAGCAAACGATATCTGCAGGGCTCTCAAAGTAGTTTCCGAACTTTAGAGACCAGAAGTGGTTCTCGAACAACTCAGACAAGGGATCTCGAACTCGATACTTAGG